AGATTGCATTGTCCATTGGTATTTCCACCTTCAGCAGATTTTAGATACCAATGAAATGCTTTCTCTTCGTCTTTTTTGGTTCCAATTCCATTCTCATAACAAAATCCAAGATTACGTTGTCCATCAGTATTTCCACCTTCAGCAGATTTTAGATACCAATGAAATGCTTTCTCTTCGTCTTTTTTGGTTCCGATTCCATTCTCATAACAAAATCCAAGATTGCATTGTCCATTGGTATTTCCACCTTCAGCAGATTTTAGATACCAATGAAATGCTTTCTCTTCGTCTTTTTTTGTTCCAATTCCATTCTCATAACAAATTCCAAGATTGCATTGTCCATTGGTATTTCCACCTTCAGCAGATTTTAAATACCAATGAAATGCTTTCTCTTCGTCTTTTTTGATTCCAATTCCATTCCTGTAACATATTCCAAGATTATATTGTCCATCGGTATTTCCACCTTCAGCAGATTTTAGACACCAATAAAATATTTTATCATCATCCTGCAATGAGCTCATTGTAAGTTCTATAATACAGTTGAAATAAATGATGCTTATTTTATTTTATCTTAATTGTGAGTATTTAAGTAGTAAAAATGTGTACTAATATTTGATGAGTCACATATGCAAAGTCTGCGTCTAAAATAATACTTTACGTATGTTGACTCTTGATAATCTCTCTCGTTACACAATTTCTAAAAGTAGTTACTGTCATTGTCAAAACTCGAGAAGTATCTAAAAGTAAAAGAAACCCGATACAGTACAGTCAACTCTCAATAAAAGAAACTATATAATGTATACCAAATCAAGAGATTACCCCAGTATAAGGACATATTACACCTGAACAAGAATGTACCCCAATCCGAAGACATGATACACAGCACCAAAAATGCAATCAACAACGATTCAATATTGATATAGCAAACAATATTGCACAACTTCTATCGAGTTAAAATACGGGAAGATGATGGTCACAATGTGCTGATAATTTTTGTGTAATAAAAGTCTTACATTAAGTATGTCAAATATTGTTGCCATATTGCTTAAATAAACATGAAAATACATGTCGCAAAATCATAACCAACATTCTTGGTTCCCCTTCCAGCATCCGCCGACCAGAATTCTTGAGAATACCTGAACATTTTCGAGGGTTAGAATTCGACATCTACTATCCGCAGTATGGAGTTGTTATAGAGGTACAAGGCAAACATGAACAACACGTAGAACACTTTCACAAAAATTTTAATAAGCAGTTGATACGTGATCAGATCAAAAAAAAGAACTCTGCGAAGAAAATTGGATTGTCTAAGATATGTTTGGTATTATGAGGATCCATATATAATCCCAAATCCTATTTGAGAGCTAGGACTCATTGAATAAACTCAAAACTTTAACCATTACGTGTATTATTTTTATCAAAGAATGATTTAATGTTTTTTTCGAACCTGAAAAAAGCAGTATACAGTATTATTCATTACATATGAAAATCATCACCAGGAATGTAATCACCGCCAAATCTCAACGAAAGCGGCACAACCAAAAATCGTTGGAAAACAACATCACTACTTTGATCTCATAATTAACACGTCAGTACATCATCTTTAGCTTTGTCTTGTCATAAATCTGATTATTTTCAGAAAAAAAATTGATCAGTATATATTAATGATAAATATGATTTTTCCGAATGGCACTGTGGATCGCGTGATCGAAACATAAATAAGTAATTATCTTTCTAATTTCTTCAATGTCTTCCAAAATAATTCAACACTTTCGTAGGGCTGTTTTTCCGATTTGCTTCGTTAACCATCGAGTACGATGCCTTCAGTCGCCGAGTCTTATGTTAAGGAATTTGAGATCTGACTTATCTCAATTATCACTTTCGAGACATTATGCAAACTCTTCACCTCCCGAAGAGTCTACATCGTCCTCCTACCTGAAAAAATCCACAAAATACATAGCAAAACGACTTCGAGTATAAGATTTATTATTATTCATTATGTATTTTCGATCAAGTTTCAACACCTTTTCGTTATTTGTAGGCTGCTATATTGGCGAACATAATTGTAACCGGCCTTGTTGGTTTTATATCTGTGGACCTTATGTGTGCTTGGTACCGAAATAGACGTAATGTGCGTCTTCTCAATGAAACAATGGAAAAAGGCACTCGACCTGGAACGGAAATTTCAAGTGAAAAATATGTTCCTAGACCTGAAATTGTAGAACGCCTTAAAAAAATTTTTCAACCCGACAAAGATCAATCATTTTATCACATGGTTTGCGGCGAACATGGAACTGGGAAAACTACGCTGACAAGGATCGCATCGAGTGAAGTTGGACGTGGGGTTATATACGTTAATGTTCCAGCAAACCTTGACAAGTTTGGTGACGAATTTGAAAGCGCCCTTAATTTTACATTCGAGGAAAGGTTTTCTTTTACAGGACAGCTGATGCGAAATATATTAGGCGAAACTAATGGTATGTTTTCATTACTGCTTTATTATTTATTTTGATTCTTAATTTTCTTTTTGTTAGATAAACTTAAGATTTCTAAATGGGAGAGAGCTCTAGAAGTCTTTAAGCGTGCTGGTGTAGTATACAAAGCAAAGCATAATATACCACCGGTTATCGTTTACGATAATATTAGCCGGTTGGTTCATAAGAATCCGGAAATCCTTGATATCCTTCAAGATGATGCCAATGATAATGCTGATGACAGAAATTATATCGCTGTGTTTGTCAGCAGTGAAGGGAATGTCCCGAGAAGAATGCAGTGTAAGTGCTAACAGAATTTTTTGGTTCTCTTATTTACAGGCATATTTATGCTGTAAATCAATACTGTATTTTTTTTATTTCTAGCACGTAGTTCTTGGTCACGTACAGAAGAACCAATCGAAATTGGAGACTTCTCCAGAGAAGAATCATTGAACTATCTTATTAAACGTGGAATCAAGATCGATGCCGCAGAGAAATTATTTGACTTGGTTGGTGGACGCATTGTAGATCTTAAGGTTATAGCAGATAAATATCTAAAAGGAATACCCATTGAAGGTAGAATTGGTTTTTATATTTTAAATCTGCGATTCCACTTCTGACATGGTTTTCTTTTTGCAGATATTGAATTCACAATTTTAACGAAAGTCGAAAACAAATTTAGAATTGCAAAACTTCTTAAAAATCATAAACATTATGAAGTAGGAAAACGTATTATCAGTGCTTTGCAAGATTCCGGAGAGCTTAGTCGTACCGCATTCGAGGAATTTTTCAATGAGCGCCAGGAAGCCAATGAAGTATTGGGAACCAATGTATTCGCGTATCATCCAGAAAAAAATACTGTAACCTTTCAGTCTCGCTCAGTAGAGTTCTATGTTCAGAAAAATGCTAGTATTCACTAAATAGAGCTACTAGGCACTTAATGTTATTAATTGCATAATAAAGCTTCATTTTACAAGCAGTTCGGGCGAAACTTTAATATTTTAAAATGATGGGAGCAGTGAGTTTCAAGGGAGGAAGCATCTCGAGCCTTAACTCAATAAAATGAGAGTTCCTTCTCGCCACTCTTTATTATTTGGTTTTCTAATTTTATAACCATTACAATATTACACATATCGTCAAAAGAACATCTCCTTTCTGCCATAACTTATCAAAAATAGCTTTAAACTGATTCCAGCTAGTTTAAGTAATATCCAAAAATGATCGTTGGCTGGAATCAAAATCTTCGAATTGATTTTCATCACTTTGTTGATCAGATGAGGATGAGGATGAGTCATTATCTCGAAGCTCTGCTTCCTCAATAGGCTCGATCCTTATTTCGGGAGAAATGACACTTCGTACCTGGATACAGTAACGGCATAGCGTCGATCAATTTTGTTTTGGAGCATTGATTGATTCGAATTTGAACGATCTCATCAAGTATTGCAGTAGAAGTATTGAGAATTCTCAAAATTCTTTGGACCTCCGTTGTAAAGTTTTCATCGCGTGAGGTAAGTTCAGATTAAATTTGGCACGGTAATCGGTGAGTTCGCCATTAAACATACTGTAGTATATTACAGGCGTTAAGTTCGGAATTATGCTTGGTGTCGATGTCTTGCTTACTGAAACGTGACAAATACAATGTGATACCGATGAGCAAGTAAATGATGATTTTTCTCGACGAACAACAATATACCAGTGAAATCCAAAAATGAAGCGATTCCCGAAACAGCAAGCGATGAAATCTTTGACAATTTTTCTTTAGCATATATAAAATAAACCTTAATTATAAGAAAACAGTGTTTTAAGTGTATGAATTTTTTATTGCTTACTTATCGTGGAAAGGTTTGTTAAGATTTATGATATTAAATGTTTTATTTCCTAAAATCGTTAATCATAAACACGAAGCAGTAAAGGATATCACGGATACCTTTTTGTATAAAAAATCAGATCAGAATTTATTTATAGACTTGAACGATAAAGGACTATGAAAGTAATATAACATCAAGACTACATAACCGTTTATTCGATTTAATATAGACCTATTGTCTTAGCAAAAAGCTCTGCTCAATATAAATCCCAAAATTAGAAAATTTATGTACAGTAGATGGTGGGCTCGAAGATTTACAATAAATACTGTATATAACCCTTGCTACAGTACAAGTGTTACTCCAATCACATTTTAATTAAATCAGCCAATCATGTTGACGTTGACAAAAAATCTTTTATTGGTATAAATAGTATGGTCACGCCATGTACACTCCCCTGACAAAAGTCACCGGCTGTTGATCAATTTTGATGGTAATTGGTAAACGATAGAATTTTTTTTTT